TACCCTGACCCTAACCCTAACCCTGACCCTAACCCTAACCCTAACCCTAACCCTAACCCTAGGTCCTGCTTGCTGACTTCAACACGGCGCGGCGGCTCGACGACGACACGGACGGCATCACCGCCATCGGTGCGCGAGGGAGGGGGCGGAGAGGGAGAGGGAGGGGGCGGAGAGGGGGAGGGCGGGGATGGAGAGGGAGAGGGCGGGGGAAGCGAGAGAGGGAGAGGGAGAGAGGGCGGTGCGGGTTGCGGGGGTTGCGCCCCCCCCCCGCCCCCCCTCCTCCCCGCCACTGCCGCCCGCGGCACGCCTGCGAATCAGCCCCTCAGTACTCCTTTGCTGGCGGCTGCGCCTTCTCCTCGGTGTCATGTCGCAGGCACGCCAGAGTACGTGGCTCCCGAGCTAACCCTAACCCTAACCCTAACCCTAACCCTAACCCTAACCCTAACCCTAACCCTAACCCAGGCACGCCAGAGTACGTGGCTCCCGAGCTAACCCTAACCCTAACCCTAACCCTAACCCTAACCCTAACCCTAACCCAGGCACGCCAGAGTACGTTAACCCTAACCCTAACCCTAACCCTAACCCTAACCCTAACCCAGGCACGCCAGAGTACGTGGCTCCCGAGCTAACCCTAACCCTAACCCTAACCCCAACCCTAACCCTAACCCTAACCCAGGCACGCCAGAGTACGTGGCTCCCGAGCTAACCCTAACCCTAACCCTAACCCTAACCCTAACCCTAACCCTAACCCTAACCCAGGCACGCCAGAGTACGTGGCTCCCGAGCTAACCCTAACCCTAACCCTAACCCTAACCCTAACCCTAACCCTAACCCAGGCACGCCAGAGTACGTGGCTCCCGAGGTTGTCGGCGGAGACGGCTACTCGTTCGCCGCGGACTGGTGGGGCATCGGTGAGTCGCGCAGTCGCACCCATTCTACCACCCTACTCACGAGCGTCCATGCTCCGAACCGCCAAACGGCCCGTCGGCTGAGAGGCGTGAGAGCGCCGAGGCGATCTCCTCCCCCGTGGCACGCCGCGCGCGGACACACCTCCCTCGCACACGCCCTTCTTCCCATCCTGGCAAGGGGGTGCTTATGGTTAGTTTTTTGGAGGCAAATAAATAATCCTAAGTGAACCTATAAGGAAACCCGCGCCCATCCTTACAACTTTTGTCCGGGAAAAAATGGGGTATTTTTAT